AAAAAAAAAAAAAAAAAAATTTGAATGGAAGACCCAAATCAGCAGAATATGCCTGTCAGTCTTTCTTCAGTGCAAGAAAAGCTTTTTCTTGCAAGCGAAGGCGATTGCAATGAAGAATTTTTTGTGTGTAAGGGATGATTCAATTGCTTTAAAGAAAGGGAAAATTGGGTGGTGCCTGTGGCTCAGTGAGTAGGACGTCAGCCCCATATACTGAGGATGGCGGGTTCCCCGCCAAACTGCAATAAAAAAATAGCCAGGCATTGTGGCAGACGCCTGTTGTGGCAAGAGGATAACCTAAGCCCAAGAGCTGGAGGTTGCTCTGAGCTGTGGCTCACCCATGGCACTCTACCAAGGGTGACAAAGTGAGACTCTGTCTCTTAAAAAAAGGGAAATTTTGTGTAGTATTAAAGTTCAAGGTAAAGCAGCGAGTGCTGATGTTCATGCTACAAGTGATATTTCCCAAGACATTGGAAGGTAATTATAGATGAGGGAGGGAGATTGTTTGCCAGGTCAAAAATTTTTTAAACTATAAACAGGCTATAAATAAACTATAAATCAGGCAGATTCTCCAGGAATTATTCCAGAAGATGGCATTGTTATCATAGGAGATGATAGCTCTGTTTTTGCCCCCGAAGACCTTCCAGTGGGATAAGATATGGAAGTGAAAGACAGTACTGATATCGCTGATCCTGACCATGTGTAGGCCTAGGCTAATGTGTGTTTGTGTCTTAGTTTTTATTTATTTATTTATTTTCTTGAGACTGAGTTTCACTATATCGCCCTTGGTAGAGGGCTGTAGCATCCCAGCTCACAGCAACCTCAAACTCTTAGGCTCAAGTGATTCTCTTGCCTCCGCCTCCTGAGTAGCTAGGACTACAGGTGCCCGCCCCAACTCTCAGCTATTTTTTTTTTTTGAGAGACAGAGTCTCACTTTATCACCCTCGGCAGAGTGCCATGGGAGCATCACACAGCTCACAACAGCTTCCAACTCCTGGGTTTAGGAGATTATCTTGCCTCAGCCTCCTGAGTAGCTGAGACTACAGGTGCTTGCCACAACACCCAGCTATTTTTTTGTTGTTGTTGCAGTTTGGCCAGGGCTGGGTTTGAACCCAACACCCTCGGTATATGGGGTTGGCGCCCTACTCACTGAGCCATAGGCACTGCCCTGCCCAGCTATTTTTTGTTGCAGTTGTCATTGCCATTTAGTTGGACAGGGTCAGGTTTGAACCTGCCACCCTCGGTTATGTGGCTGGCGCCATAACCACTGTGCTTTGGGCACTAAGCCTCTATTTTTATTTATTTTATTTTATTGAAACAAGAGTCTCTGTTGCCTTGGGTAGAGTGCCATGGCATCATAGATCACAGCAACCTTAAACTCCTTGACTCAAGCAATCCTCTTGCCTCAGCCTCTCAAGCAGCTGGGACTACAGGTTCCCACCCCAACACACAGCTAATTTTTCTATTTTTTTTTTTTTTTTGGTTTTTGTTTTTTTAATTTTTCTATTTTTTAGTAGAAATGGGGTCTTGCTCTTGCTCAAACTCCTGAACTCAAGTTATCCACCCAACTTGGCTTCCCAAAGTGGTGGGCGCCTGTAGTCCCATCTACTCAGGAGGCTGGGGCAAGAGAATTGCTTAAGCCCAAGAGTTTGAGGTTGCTGTGAGCTGTGACAACACAGTACTCTACTGAGGG